GAATTTTTATGCACCTCTATTCAAACATATTACTATATTCCAAGTCTTCTGAAGCCAGATTATAGTCTTTGTGTGAGGAACAGACCAAGATTTAGGCCGATATTCACTGATATTTCTCTCTGCCAAAGCTCTGAAATCCAGTGGCGTGCGGTGGTGTTTTAAAATGAGGCAGTTTTATATTTAAATATATATTTATATATAAATATGACATAAAAAAAGAACAAATATAATTCTATTTTGTATTTTATTAATCTTAGTTAATATTCATTTCAACATTTACTAATGCATTATTAAAATCAAAACTTGTGTTTGTTAACATTAGTTTATGCACTGTGAACTAACATGAACTAAAATGAACAACTGTATTTGTATTAACTAGTGCACTCTATCGGGTGTCAGCCATTTTGTAGTGCTGTCCGAATTCTTAGTGAACTACTTCATTCCCTACATTCGTTCACTACTTTTTAGTAGTACCTTTCACATAAAATGATGAACGTGTTAATGTGTGTTTATTTTTGTTCTCAGTATTTTAATAGTATGATTATGAACATAAAAGCATTACAAAAGAAATTAATAATCTACCATCAATGAAACCACAAATCTTACGCGGAGGTATACATAATTACAATAAAGTAATTTTGAGTGTTATTGCTATTAATATTATTTACATGTAATATAAAAGTACATATGTGACGAAGATGTTTTTGCAACAGCTCCAAGTGTCACGTGCAGTCTATAGGCTACGTCACCGTCCGAATCCGTTCACTCCTTTCTGATATAGTCCACTCAACTGCTATACACTATATAGGGATTAGTGAATGAGTGAACGAGTGAGCGATTCCGGACACAGCTCGAGAGCTCGCACGAAAAAAAGAGGCGGGATTTATCACACGAACCAATCACATCCAATCATAACCGATCATATCCAATTTGCCTTGCATTGCCTCCTCTCACATGAGTTTCCCCCATTCTGAGCCTCCAGAAAAGTCACTGAACGCTTTGGGGTCTCTGTAGAAAAGTCAATGGACCGAAGGGAGGCAAGCCTCCGCTGTAACTTTACCTGCGGGTGTCGCTGTTGGACAGTGTTACTTTATAAAAACTTTATAAAAACGTGACTTAGACTTTTATCATATTTAGTCATATTTACTCTGTTTTTTGTTTTTTTTGTAATATCGGTTATTTTCTCATCAACTTTTTGAGGAGACACTGCCTCCCTTGCCTCCTCGGAGGAAACGCCCCTGCTGAAATCTCTATCCCAAATTTTATTGATTTCATATAACTAAAAACATTATTAATAAACGTTATGAAATGCTGACAAATATGAATCACAAATATTAAAGTTTAGTTTAGTATCATATTTAGTCATATTTACTCTGGTTTTTTTTTTTTTGTAATATCAGTTATTTTCTCATCCAACTTTTTGAGGAGACACTGCCTCCCTTGCCTCCTCGGAGGAAACGCCCCTGCTGAAATCTCTATCCCAAATTTTATTGATTTCATATAACTAAAAACATTATTAATAAACGTTATGAAATGCTGACAAATATGAATCACAAATATTAAAGTTTAGTTTAGTTTAGATTTATTTTAAGTTTGACAAGATAGGATATTCCAACACAAAACCCTGAAATGTGTCAAACACACATACTCCAAGGCAATCAAGTAAAATAAGTTAATATACAGGCAGAATATGTAGGCTATATATGTTAAAACACAGATACACAAAAAAAGGCATCCTATACAATCAAGCACCTGCAAGTTATTTATACAACAGTTTAAGAGCACGTCAAATAAAGGAGAGTTATGTCGTTTAGCTTTACTCCTGGGCACAGCAAATATTTTGTGCTGCCAAAGAAAATAAGCAGGTGTTGGAGCCATAGGCAGGAAACAATGCAGCGGTGATTAACTGTCCTTGAGTATTTTAGTAAAAGTACAAGTAAGCTTAAAGAGATTAATATTTTATGAGATTTGTGTGATGCAGAAGAAGTGATGTGAGTTTAATCTGCTTGAATATGGAAACATACAATTGCTAAGCCAGAGATCTTCTTGTATTTCTCTTTGTTTTGCCTGTAAACTCATAAACTCTAATGTACTATCAAAAGTGATGTATCCAAATAATCAATGTTGTTATTTTCCTTGATTTTTCATATCCATGTAATAATTTATGCCAAAATATGCACATTTTATATATGGTTGAAAGTTATATCTTCTGCACTGGTGTTTTGTTAGATAATGGACATCTTCCAACTACTTCCTGAGTAGTCATGATTCTCAGAATTAATCATCAACGTTACTATATGTTTTTTTTCCCCCAGAAACTGTGTTTTTGTATTATGTAAGACATATTTGAAAGTGCTCGTTTTGCTGTATTTGTTGTAAAGGTGTGAAAACACATCTATTTTTAAACTCAAAATTTGACTGGTCAGCCTAACCTGACCAATCGTCGATACAACAACATATGATATAATGGATAAGTATATTTGACCTTTTCTTATTAGACGTAAACACCAGTTTGGGAGGATGCAAGTTTCCTGCACATATATATATATATATA